TTCAAAAGCAAGAATGTCAGTTTGACTGATTGGAATACCTAAAATGGGGCTACAGCGTACCCAGTGAACGAGGCTTCCTGCGGAGCCTCTGCAATACATAAGACTATAGGTAGAAACCAGAAATATATCCAGATCACCAAAGATGAGAAATCTCCACTTGAAAGGAGGAGCTGACCAGCCTGGAGCAGTGAGAAGAACAAAAGATACGTCTCGAATGAAAGACCTACAGGAAAAATACGAAACAACAGGTTTTGTTTAGTTCAACCAACGTTTATGAAGTGTTCTTTATCTGCCAGAGACCATGCTAGGTCTGAGGTTTAAAAACAAGAAATCAAAACAAGATCCACTCAAACCCCAAATCAGGGAAAATTCTTATCTTTAAGAAATTTAGAGTCTAGTGAAGAATCTGGAAAGGGGAACATGGATTTATAAACAATTACGAAAACACTGTAGGTACTGATTCACTAATAGAGCAGAGGTAGTATGCAGAAGTGAAAAAGCAGGGGCAAAAATGTTCCAAGATGACTTCTATGACAAGGAACTCAGTAATGATACTACACACAACTTTTTGGAATTGTGAACACAATAAAGATTTCCTGATGGAAACATTTGAGGTTTAAGAGACAATTGAGTTGTTGTATGGTAGACACCATAACAAGCAACAAAACAAATTCACTACTGTCAATTTAGTTCAATTCATGTGTTAGAGAATCGAACTGCTCCAGAGGACTGTCTTGGCTGTAATCTTTACGGAAACAGATAGCCAAGCTTTTCTTCTGTGGTACCACTAGATGAGTTTGAACTACCAATCTTCAGATTAACAATAGAGCGCAAATTGTTTGTGCCACTCAGGAACCTTTGAAAACATTCAGTAATAAAAGTCTTCATTGTGTGAAAAGTATCTGAATTAATTCAGATACTGAAAATATATAAGAATTCCAGCTAGTTCTGAAACTGGCACCTCTTTTGGAAAGTAATGGAGTATAGTATGCATGAAGAGCCATAAAGTTGTTCATACCCTTGGTCCTTAATGACTTCCTTCCCTCCTGTGAATGTATCTTAAAAATAATCCAAAATAGGAGAACAAAACAAAATTAGACTCTCTGATGCTTTCTTAAATTGTGGATCAAAATGACTTTGCAGTCCAGCACATTAGCCCACAGCACCACACCAGGAAATAACTAGGTGAGATCATTTATCTCCATCCCACCCAAACCAGGGTGCCCTATTAGCAATCAGAATCCCTGAATTTCTACATTGACATTACTACAGTTTTGCAACTTATGGGCAAGTTACAGGTTTTCTCTGGGCCAAAACTGTGTGATTTGAAGATGTCAAGAAATCAAGAGTTTGTATCTCATGTTGTTATGGCTCCCAGGCCTGAGCACACACCAATGCTAAACCATACGTGAACGTTCCATGTAATCCATAATTCCTTCAAATAGCCTCACTTGATAACCATGAGTTTTGTAATATTACGTAAGATATTTGATATTCTAAAATTTGTTCAGATGTTCAACAATATAATCTATTCTTATTAAATCTCTAGAATATATTAAGAGCCCCTGGATGGTGCAAGCAGTTAAGGGCTTCACTACCAGTATGGCTTAAGTGAATAGAAATAGACTCTGTGGCAATTAACAACAAGAACAATATACTAAGCAGCCATTAATCAGTATGGATTATACATTAAAGAAAACAAAAATCCTCATAACTGGACCAATACGTAACATCATGATAAACATAAAAGACTGAAGTTATCATGATTTCTTATTACTTGGATCCATAATCAATGCCTATGAAAGTAGAAATCAATATATATGGAGTTCTGGTGTGGCACTGTGGGATAAAACACTAGATCGCAAGGTCGGTTTGAACCATAAGGTTGGTGGTTCAAACTTATCAGTCGCTCCTTGGAAACCCTACATTTGATGGCACTTAAGATATA